AAAGAAAACATTTGGACGAATTTTGGCTAACAAACCATTTCGGGTCCTATTGGTTTACATAGTAATTTTCGCTCATACCATGCATCAGAGAAACAAGTGCAATCTTTAGATTTTTGTCTTTGAACTTCCGTTTTTGTGGTTTGCTCTATAGAATCACCGTTGAAGAGTAATTAGCTAGTGAAGTGGATTTACTTATTGTAGAGTTAACAAAGCTTATGTGCATTGTAATGTTTGAATCGGATGTCTTAACAAATGACAGCAGACTGGGAAGATTTTAAAATGTATGAGCTTACCTTCACACTGTGAAAATACAACTGGTAGACCGAAGACAACTTGAGCAACACTGAAAAGGGGCGGAGCTACATAAGGTCTATAGTGGGAACTGAAACTATCCATTTAATTGTTTGTTTGTTTTTTGGAGCCTTACAGTCCTATTCACTTACTGTAATTATATTCACGTTTTGTTTTCAACAGAAGAAAGTAAGTCATACAGTTTTGGAATGACATGAAGATGAGTACATGATTATATTTGGGTGAATGATCCCTCTGAACTATCATTTTTTACATTTACAGAAGTGTGACGTTGAACAAAATGGCTTACACAGGAAAGATTCACTAGGTTTTTTGCCTCAAGCTGTGTAACCGTGCTTACATGCATCAGCAGGTGAAGCGCGACGAAACTCGAGGATGGACGACGGCGTATTATAGCCTGCCGCAGAAACTTGCACACATTATGTCAGAGCGAGAGAGCAAGAACGCCATTAGCATTCACGGACGTTGTTTGGCACTCCAGCCGCCCCTCTGCGTCGTATCAGGCGTCGTTGATTAATTTCAGCCTATTAGCACCCCCTACCCTCCCCCCCGCCCCTCCCAGGTTAATTCCCCACGCCAGCGAGCGGGAAAGGGGGCTGCGGGTGTGAGCGATGGTGCAGGGGGTTGCAGGGGAGCACGTTGTTGTCAGGACTGTATTAATGAGCGCGCCGTTCAGGTCCCGTGGACAGGGGGACGGTGTTCCTGGCTGCGCACGGCGACGGCGGCTCTGTCGAGGCCTGGCCTAGTTTCTGCCCTCACCGGGGAGCGGGAGGATCCAAGGACTGACGCTGATCACCTGACAGCGGCCCCACTGCTTCGAGAGAGTGTGTACGCACATGTCTGTGTGTGAGAAAGAAAAAAGTCAGGAAAGAGAGGACGCAAGTGCTGGAGTGGGTAAATGTTTTTTTTTAATTGTTTTTTTATTTCAGGTTTCTGTCTCTGAATAATTTTGGAAGTTCTCAGAGATGGTGTCATGTGAAGTGTTGACAAGCGGTAGATATTTTCCCACTTTTCCTTTCCATGATATTCTGTCAAAAGAGCTATAATATTGTTCCTCTACAGAAAAGAATGACTGTAAAAGCGCTTTCATGCAAACCTCGTTCAGATTTCGAGACCATGTTTGGGGCTGCTGTGATATTGTTGTAAAGAAAAGAGCACTATGTCTAATTTTATTTCATGGTCCTACACCTGGATGTGCTGCACCTGGACTTTCTCATCCCTCCACTTCCTGTTGTGCTACCACATTTAGTCCAACTTCACAATTTATTGCGCCATCAGAAAGTGAGTATGTGCTCTATAACAACATCAGCTGACCCTGGATCATCTGTTCCCTTATATATTTACTGGTATATAGAAACAGGTGTTTTTTGTTTGTTTTATGTTCATACGTGGATGTAAAATAAAAATGAAGTCATCATTTATCCAAGCTGTGAGCTTGCAATTTTATTAATTTTATTGCAAGTACAATTAAAGAACCTTTTATAGAGATATGTATATACAGTACAAATCGTTGAGTCTTTCTAGTCTTTTTTCGAATGTTTGTGTCTACTGCTTACTGTTAAATAATGGCAAAACAAAACCTATTTCTATTGGATTGTCTGCAATGGCTGCAATAAAATATGCAAAAAAATGTGATCCATTAAAAAAGTCTTTGAGGACAACAAAGCATAATATACGTAATCAATGGCAGTTCACTGCAGCCACAGATTGTACGATGGTTTGTTTTAGCTCAGACCCAGGATTTGGTTGGTGTGCAACCGAATTCAAAAGACCGCTTTCACACTAATCCAGTAAACAATTTTACACTGCACACAAGCACTTACAAGCTGTTAGGTTAAGGATTCCATAGGTTGGTGCTCTCATAACTGCACGAAATATAACACAGACTTGTGAGTGCATTATAAGAATCGTGGTCCATCGTTCAGGCATACGGTGTTGGCTGGCCCACTGAGGCGCTATAAATAGCAGTCATCAATATCTTCTTCTCAACCTCCTCACATTCCCAATCCACTCAGGACGCTCCTCTAATGGCATTAAATTTTCAAAAGAGCTGAGTCCACTGCGCTTCTCCGTGCCCACATCCGCCCAACAGGAGAGCAAAGGAGAGAGATGGAACGAGAAGAAAGAGTCACAGTGAAAGAATACTGTGTTAATGGGCGCGCCGTTCAGGTCCCGTGGACAGGGGGACGGTGTTCCTGGCTGCGCACGGCGACGGCGGCTCTGTCGAGGCCTGGCCTAGTTTCTGCCCTCACCGGGGAGCGGGAGGATCCAAGGACTGACGCTGATCACCTGACAGCGGCCCCACTGCTTCGAGAGAGTGTGTACGCACATGTCTGTGTGTGAGAAAGAAAAAAGTCAGGAAAGAGAGGACGCAAGTGCTGGAGTGGGTAAATGTTTTTTTTTAATTGTTTTTTTATTTCAGGTTTCTGTCTCTGAATAATTTTGGAAGTTCTCAGAGATGGTGTCATGTGAAGTGTTGACAAGCGGTAGATATTTTCCCACTTTTCCTTTCCATGATATTCTGTCAAAAGAGCTATAATATTGTTCCTCTACAGAAAAGAATGACTGTAAAAGCGCTTTCATGCAAACCTCGTTCAGATTTCGAGACCATGTTTGGGGCTGCTGTGATATTGTTGTAAAGAAAAGAGCACTATGTCTAATTTTATTTCATGGTCCTACACCTGGATGTGCTGCACCTGGACTTTCTCATCCCTCCACTTCCTGTTGTGCTACCACATTTAGTCCAACTTCACAATTTATTGCGCCATCAGAAAGTGAGTATGTGCTCTATAACAACATCAGCTGACCCTGGATCATCTGTTCCCTTATATATTTACTGGTATATAGAAACAGGTGTTTTTTGTTTGTTTTATGTTCATACGTGGATGTAAAATAAAAATGAAGTCATCATTTATCCAAGCTGTGAGCTTGCAATTTTATTAATTTTATTGCAAGTACAATTAAAGAACCTTTTATAGAGATATGTATATACAGTACAAATCGTTGAGTCTTTCTAGTCTTTTTTCGAATGTTTGTGTCTACTGCTTACTGTTAAATAATGGCAAAACAAAACCTATTTCTATTGGATTGTCTGCAATGGCTGCAATAAAATATGCAAAAAAATGTGATCCATTAAAAAAGTCTTTGAGGACAACAAAGCATAATATACGTAATCAATGGCAGTTCACTGCAGCCACAGATTGTACGATGGTTTGTTTTAGCTCAGACCCAGGATTTGGTTGGTGTGCAACCGAATTCAAAAGACCGCTTTCACACTAATCCAGTAAACAATTTTACACTGCACACAAGCACTTACAAGCTGTTAGGTTAAGGATTCCATAGGTTGGTGCTCTCATAACTGCACGAAATATAACACAGACTTGTGAGTGCATTATAAGAATCGTGGTCCATCGTTCAGGCATACGGTGTTGGCTGGCCCACTGAGGCGCTATAAATAGCAGTCATCAATATCTTCTTCTCAACCTCCTCACATTCCCAATCCACTCAGGACGCTCCTCTAATGGCATTAAATTTTCAAAAGAGCTGAGTCCACTGCGCTTCTCCGTGCCCACATCCGCCCAACAGGAGAGCAAAGGAGAGAGATGGAACGAGAAGAAAGAGTCACAGTGAAAGAATGAAAGACTCGGACGTGGTCGAATGTGGTTTAAAACTGAATATGCAAGTTTTTAAAAATGGAGATTGAATGTAGGCTGAGGAGAGATGGGGACATGTAGATGTGGTCGGTGTCCATATAGACTAATTCTCTACTCTGTTGTGAATAATGCATTAGCACTTTAATCATCCTCCACTGCCGCCCGCCGTGCCACGCCGCTGTCATGGTGGTCTGAACAGTGCCCGTTGTGGCCCCTCCATCAGTGCCCTCTGCCCTGACCTGGGACGTTTAGCTGTGTCAGGCAAACGCGCCATCGCAAGAGATCCTGACCCTCGCCTCTGCCTACAACTTGTCCTAGTCTAATCGATTACTCCTGAGCACACGAGATAATGGGACACACACACACGGTTACACACGTTCGGCTCGTCTCCTGTCCGCTGACCCCGATGACCTTTTCTGCTTTTGAGAGATGTCGGTTCGCTGCTGTCTGTGACCTCGCAGTGGACACTGTAGTTAAATATATGGTTACTAAGGAGAATTAATAACATTCAAAAGATGGCACTTTGAGCTCTTCTTATTTTTTTTTTAAAAAAATTTTATTTTTTTGCATTTACATTTGATGAGTCATTGTGGTCGATTATTCATCCAATTACTGACTAGTCAACAAGGTAGTTATCTATTATTTTTTTCCTCTGTCTGTACAATTTCAAAAGAGTGTCTTTTTCCCCTTCTGTTGTATCTCAAAATGTTTGTTGTGTTGGTTATTTTTTTTCCCCCTGTTCTTCTTTTGAATATTTATTTTATTTTTATTTATTTCTCTTCTTTTATTTCTTAGTGCTGTTGGTATTGGTCCAATAAGTAAATTAGGTCAATTTACAGTATTTAAGCCAGGAAATTAAATGATAGACAAATTATCATCAGACTCCAAATTCATAGTTGGTCTACTAGTTGTTCAAATAAGATTTTTTTTTTAATCTGTGTTTTTTTTATATATTATTGTTTTACCCTTTTTTGTTTTTTTAGTGCTAATAAAATATGCACTAATGTGCCTTTTATGTGTTTGTTGTCCCTGTAGGAAAGCGGCTGCAGGAGTGGATCTGTGTGATTCTGTGCCTCTCGCTCTTTGTTATAAACCTCTCCTTCCTCTTCCTCAACTTCTCCACAGTGCACATCTACAAAATCATCTTTGGCATTGGTAAGTCTTATTCTTTGTGACCTTTCTGTTCATGTCTTTCCTTTGTTTTAAAGTAATAAAGTTCTGCTGTCATTATCTCCACAGAAACCATTGGTTGTAGTGCACTTTTTTTCCATGTCATGGTCTCATGGTCACTTTTATTTCAGTACTGACTGAATTTAACAGCTTCTTTCTTTCTCTCAAAGTGACTGGTATTGTGACAGCAGATTTTGCCTCTGGGATGGTACATTGGGGAGCCGATACATGGGGTTCAGTGGACATCCCAGTAATTGGGAAGGTAAGGACCAAGGCCTATGCATAGTTCAGTATGTATGGCATAACTGTCTCTATACTATATGAATGTGATTGGCTGTAGGCGTGTGGGCACATTTAGGTACAATGGCATCATCTTTCTGGCACACATGCATTTCCCACACACTCATATGCACAGTGTGATCTCTAAGTGTAGTATCTTGTTTGATTTTAACAAATTACCCTGTTTAATTTTCATATCAGCTTTTGCTCTATTGGCCTGTTGTGGTTTACCAGGCTCAAAAAACGGCGAGTGTGAAATGCCATCTCCACCCTGGGGAGTTCAGCCCTTCCCGCTTTCCTGGAGCGCCACATCTTAACCCCACCCACTCTCAACCCCAAAGGGTGCTGGGAATACTCAGGAGGGTTGCATTAATGCATAGTACGGTCGCACTCTCCTTGCCCAATCAGAGAAAAGGTCACCCCCTCGCTGTCCAATTAAAAAGCAGCCGACACTTGCTTTCTGTGTCGGACAAGTAGGGGCCATGAATCTGGGAGCATTTATGTGTTTTTGTGCTGACAGGGGTCATTGTGCTATTATGTGAAAGGGGGCAATAGACTGGCAGTAGAAAAATGGCTAACCTAAGCTAAATCCGGTCCCGTGTGCCAATTATTAGGAAACTTCTGGAAATATGGACTGTTTAATTTGATTACAGCAAAAAGAAATGACAAGTATACAGGTTTAGCAGTGATCAGTATGCACTTGACAATGAGTGCAGTCATGAAATTTTCACAGTTTGAGGCCTGTCCTTTGAGTAACACCAATCTTTCCTATTGTTCTCTGGCTGATATGTGCTCTATAGAGATGGCAACCTATAGGACTGGGCGGTATGCAGGGCCGGCGGCACGGGGGGGCGTGAGGGGGCATCGGCTTTCACCAAAATGCATAGGCTTTCTAGCATTAATATGATGCTACTATAGCAACAATTTAGGACAGTCCGTTTCACAAAGTCGCATTTTAATTGTTACATCTGACACACAAACTTTCTGCGCAAGCGGTTCAACTAAGAATGCAGCACTACTTAGTAAGCTAAAGGTATGATGAAAGAATTCTTTAATGTTTAATAGAGGGCTAGATGGTCGTTGTTAGTTGATTATTTCGCTGTATTGTTATTGTTTGTTGCTGTTCAAGTTGTTCTAACTTAAAAGGATGCATCTGTTAAATGGGTATAGACTGGCAGTAGAAAAATGGCTAACCTAAGCTAAATCCGGTCCCGTGTGCCAATTATTAGGAAACTTCTGGAAATATGGACTGTTTAATTTGATTACAGCAAAAAGAAATGACAAGTATACAGGTTTAGCAGTGATCAGTATGCACTTGACAATGAGTGCAGTCATGAAATTTTCACAGTTTGAGGCCTGTCCTTTGAGTAACACCAATCTTTCCTATTGTTCTCTGGCTGATATGTGCTCTATAGAGATGGCAACCTATAGGACTGGGCGGTATGCAGGGCCGGCGGCACGGGGGGGCGTGAGGGGGCATCGGCTTTCACCAAAATGCATAGGCTTTCTAGCATTAATATGATGCTACTATATAGCAATAATTTAGGGCAGTCCGTTTCACAAAGTCGCATTTTAATTGTTACATCTGACACACAAACTTTCTGCGCAAGCGGTTCAACTAAGAATGCAGCACTACTTAGTAAGCTAAAGGTATGATGAAAGAATTCTTTAATGTTTAATAGAGGGCTAGATGGTCGTTGTTAGTTGATTATTTCGCTGTATTGTTATTGTTTGTTGCTGTTCAAGTTGTTCTAACTTAAAAGGATGCATCTGTTAAATGGGTCGCAATGAATGTGTTATGTCAGGGAATCGGTCGCAATAAGCTTGTTTCATTCAGTATTTCTGGTCATTGTGGTGGTATCACTTGTCTGTATTTGTGGTAAATCTGCTGCCTGAGACATATTATTTCCAGGATGTCAGACCAAAACACTATATGTGTGAACCCAGTATTCTAATAGTAACGTTAGCGGGCAGGTTTGTTTACTGTCCGACAAATACATGAATGGGCCACAATTTTATTTTATTTATTTATTTTTTTACTTTGTGCTACGTCATCGCCCCCTTTTGTTTACTCAGCTGCCCCCTCATCAGTGCTGCGCTGGCGCCGGCTCTGGCGGTATGACGCTTTATACTGTGCCAACTCCAATTAGTCTGCTGTAGCATTTATACCTTGACATGATTTGATGTGATATATTTATATATTTTTCTCAATAATCTAGTGTTAAATACAGAAAAATGAAAAGGAGTTCATCTAATTTTATGTATTAACTACTTCAGTCTGTGTGCATTGAATTTATTTAATACACGAGTTTCACAATTTGAGTTGAATTACTGAAATAAATGAACTTTTCCACGACATTCTAATTTATTGAGATGCACCTGTAGTTTAAATTTTTAAAAATCTGTCTGTTTTAGCATTAAAATGTATAGTGTAAAAATGGACAGATGTATCACTTATTACACCGCTTTTCACCATATAAATAATAATTGGGATAGGAAATATTGATTTGAGAAGTAACCATTTTAAAATCTTGCCTGTTTATTATTTTATAATCTATTGCACAAAACAATCGTTCTAGCATCAAGACGAACACTTCAACAATATTACTATAGGCCTACAATTAAATACTTTGGTTTCATTTTACAGTAAAAAGAAAGAAATGAGAGAGCATGTTCGTGGTGTGATACACGACACGTGAAAGAAGTGCTGGTTAATCGCTGGGAATCAATTCCAAAAAGAATCCGTTTCGAGGCTTTGGGAATCGAGAGTCGATTCCAAAAGTTGGAATCGGTTCCATCAGGGGAATTCGCTGCACATGTACGCATATACTTGATTCTTACATTTCAGTGGTGTTCATTGTTGCACTTTCAGTCTGCGGTCTTGCATGTCGAACTTGTCCAAAATGTACAGTAGGCTACTGACAAATATTGAGTTGCCTATTGTAAGAAAAATGATGAAGACGATGAAGATCTCGATGAAGATGTTTATTGCAGCAGAATTATCTCTATGATAATTAAGCTCTTTGTAGAGAAAGGAGAATAGTTTAATTGGAGTGGAAGTTTGGTCGAGGCAGACTATAATTTCTTACACTATGTATTGGACAAGTGTTGCACTCAAAGCACGCCATACAAACACTACTGTTGCTATAATAATGAATACAACTTAATGCGCTCTTATTTCTTATTATTGGCCGAATACCTCAAGCGTGTGACGGAAATGTTACTCCCCTTACCATACTGTGATGCCTTGTCCCGCCCGGAGCGACGAGACAAAAACATTAAAACCTAATATAAACTAGGCATTTGTTGCATCCAGTGGGGACATAATTACGGAATATATAATAAAAGTTATGCCTTCTTTCTTTGCGTGAACATTTGGGCGGTGTAATGCAAATCTGCCCACATCGTGTCGTAGACATGTGGGGGCGTGTTAAAACGAGCCGTTTTAGGTAGGCATGGTTGACTTAACTTTTATAAAGAATATCACTTTGGATTTGAGACTTTAGTCTTTGCAACTTTACAGACCTTCTTTATGCACCAAGAGCTTGTAACACTCCAAAGAGAAAGGAAAAATTTAAATCGCATCATATGACCCTTTTAATGATGTGGTTATTTCAGGGTACAGTTTGCTTTGTACATTCTGTGCAACGGCATAAAGTTAAAGTAAACTTCATCATTAAACTGAACTGTGCACATGCAGTTTAGACATGTTATGCTCTTGCTCCAGCCATGCGTTAAATGCATGTCCTTCAATGAGCGTTTTTAGCGTGTTCACTGCTTATCTATGGGCTAATCGGAATCGTTTCCGATTGCTTGTTCTCCAATAGCTTCCAAAAAAAATCTGAATCAAACAACCGTAGCACTGGCCTCAAATACCTGAATGAGCGGCCATTAAATACCATTCATGTTCAGGGAATAACTGACCTAAGACTGTCCCGACTGACCAATCATAATCAAGCATTTCTGAGAGCCGTGTAATTGATCATTTAAGTTTCTCAAATATTGTCCATTATGGTACCAAACCGATGTACCGTGGTTTTGGTCATACTGCCCACTTCTTATGCTCTGCTTCTATAAAGGGGGCCGTGTTTACATGCTGGTCATTGAGGCACTGAGTTGTCCTATATTGCCAATATTTTGAGGCCGAGAGCAGGATTGTAGAGAGCAGGTGATCTGAACGGCCCGTCCAGCTCCCGCTGTGGGTCAGGCCGAGGGGCCCGCGTTCTCTCGCTTTCATCATCGTCCATCTGTGCTGTTAAACGGCTCGGCCACACCGCCCCACCGTGAAGGGGTTTCCACCCGGCTCTGCAGCCACTGCCGATCCTTCTGCTGTCGAGGATAATTAGGATCCGCCACCTGGGAGTGATCGAACTTCAAAAAAAGCGAGGGAATTTACAGACATCCAGAACGCCGCGCTTTAAGACCCTTAACCAGCAGATTAAAGGCGGCACTTACTGGACCGATATATATATGGCTTTTTGTCCACATGTTCAAACAAGAAGCACCAACTTGAGGGAGAATCATTAACCCTTTGGGGTCGACTAACGCGGATACGCGTTTTGTGGCATCTTCTCCTGATAACACCGAAAAGAACTTAAATTACACTTTCAGTTTTGATCTTACAGATAAGAGCAATACATCAATCGAATCTGTAAATGGTCTACTTTTATTTGTATACACACATAATAACAACAAAACTTTGTGCAAACTTTCTGTATAAAATAAAGAAAACAAACATGGTGCGATGTCTGCCGCCTTGGTCTGCGTGATCTTTATTTAGAAACGCGTCATTAAAATGAACTGTAACTCAGCAAATACTCAACAAAGAGACATGAGAGATATATTTATAGAAAGCTTCACATGTCTACTTTTAAACTAAGCAAGTCTTATCGAAAGCAAATATTCTGTGATAAAGTAATCATATGAAACCAACGCGATGTCCAGTCTTTCACGGCTCCCTTCATTATATCTAATGCGACCACGCCCACGCGCTGAGCGCCCTATAGATATTATAATCATCCACGTGAAGCGCGCGGCGTGTAAACGCCCACATCACAGCAAACAAAGCAGCAAGACCTCAAGTTTTACTGTTCGCGTCGCGCTGAAAGGAATAAGACAGAATTCACCACAAGAAGCGTTAGATTACCTCAGGAAAAAACAATGCAGCGGCTTGATCCAGCAGTGATAATAAACATGAGTAAGTCTTTTTTTATTAACCTACTTGTATTAGTTTTCACATAACTTGTACACATTTTACTAGTTAGACTTTCCCCAAACTATAATTCCTGATTAAATGTATAATCAAGTGAAACATTATGAAGTTTCATTCACAGCATCTAAATGTCACGATGCCAGGATGTTTTTTTTTATGTTCTATAACAGACAGAAATACGATATAAAAGTAATATGAGTTATAATGTTACTAGCCTAATGTCAGTAAGAATGATTAGTCAAAACTTTACTGTGATAGGATATTCTCTGTTCACGAATATAGCCATATATGTTTATAACTATAGTTTTTGGATTGTATAGGCCTACATACAAAGCATGCTTGTGTTTATGAATGTAACTAAGCTTCTGTTCATGAATATCTGCTCTGGTGTAAATATTTTGAATGTGTTATACCCGTGTCTTATGGATGCACAAATGATGTGATTGATGTGATATTTATATATATTCTAAATAAACTACAAACAAAAAATAGATACATTTCTTTATTTCTTGTAAACAAAATTAAAATAAAAAAAACGAAACTAATAAACATGGGGTCGACGGTGGCGCCGGCGGCACCACTTACAGATTTGAATGATGAACATGAACATTCACGCCTGCTCGCATATACCTTTTCTACACAAAAAGTGTCTTAGAAAATTTAAATCAATATATTGTTTTCTGTGAATGAGTAAGATGATTTTCACATAATTTTGAAGCAAAAACTCTAGACTTCAAGATCAGTTCTCAATAGTCTTGTGAACAAATGTTCTGTATGTGTTTTATGGCCTTATTTCAGTGACTTTAAAATTTTAGTTTTTCACTAAGCACGCATAAACGTTGTTTTCTCAAAAACACAATCACATACATACATGCTGCCCACATATTATTGTAGCCCAGTTTGTGCTGATTATGGTGCTACTAAACTTAGCCATTAAAATGTTTATTAGCAACTGAAAAAAGCACAAATGTCAGGACATGTCAAAACTTATCCAGGGCCCAAAACACCCTCGGACCTGACCGTGATTAAACAGGCACTTAAGAGCAAAGAGCGTAGGGAGGAGGAAAAAAGGCAAGAGGAATGAAATTGATCTCTCATGTGCGCTCTGGGTTAAGGGTGGGGGAGGACGGGCTCCGGTCTTCGGCTGGGTTGCTAGGGCAATCCGAAGATGTGAGTCGTGATTAGGCAGAAGGCGGGTGAAGCGAGGCGAGGCAGGCCGTTAAACGGTGTGGGATTAGCGGCGGTGAGGCACAGGTTTGCCGCAGCGTGCCGGTGAGTCGACATGCACGCCGTGTGCTGTCTGGGGCTTAGCGCTCTTTTAATCTCGCGCACAGAGAGACGGAAAGGAAACGAGGAGAACAGGAGGGAACATAATTGTCGAAATATCAACAGATAGTTTTCTCTGCTCCAGCAGAGTGTCGCCACGCGCTCTCAGATATAGGTGTGATTGAGTTCAGCCCACAAACACGCGATAATGACATTTTTCCCCCCGCGCTCCGTCTCTGAAACGCTATGGTAATGTGGCTCCAAACGATTCCTCCTTTTTATGTGGAAAATAAATTATCTTCATTCTTGTATTTTCCTTTGTGCTTATACGATCCTTTCTCTTACTCCCTTTCATTTTGCGACACCCGCGCGGTCGCAGACAGGTGCCCGTCTCAAAGCAGCACTCCTGGGCGTGAGTGACAGGTGCTGCTGGGTTATGCTTTTTCATGATGCTGGATCTGAGCCGTGGGGAAGTGCTGTTTAATGCCAGGTTATCTCTCCGCTCCGTAACGTGTAGCTCATGCCGCATGCGTCATCTTTCATTTAGGACCTAGTAACGTTACCGCTAACGCGCCAATTTGAGTCTATCAGTCAACATCTAACCCCACCCAGCCCTGTCTTACAGCCAGATCGGGGCGAAATCTGCCTTTTCGCATTTTCAGTGCTGGTTTTTGTGGTAAAACTGTGGTGGCTACACTCTTACTGGCATATATTTTTTTAATTGACTAGTCGCACAGTGGGTTGAACACCTGGTTGACTGATCTTTCTTAACTAGAAGTATGTATAATAAATTAGTATGCTGGTTTGGCTTCACCTGTCTCTGTTTTTCTTACACAAGGCACGTTCTTGCTTTCATCTAGAGGTCTAGACGATTTCAGTGAAATGGCACAGCAGTTTTAAATGTTGGACTATTTTTTACTGGACATGCCATCTTAAAAATGCAACTTGTGGCGAAATTCTCAAAAATGCATTTGGCTGTAACAGTGGTGTGTTAATGGAGATCCAATTTTAAAGGTATAACTTTTCCAGAAGGTTTTTACTCTGCAAACTTTTTAACCGCTTAAGTACAACATGCTAAATAAAGAGCTATTGCTAAAGATATAAAAATGAATTCAGTCGACCCTAGTAATCAACTAGTCAATTGACCATTGTGACCCATTCTTATTGGTACAGTAGCTGAAAGAATGATCAAATGAGCTAAAATATTTATTTAAAAAACATGCAAGGGTGTCAAATGTGTAGAACTTTCTGAAGAGTTCTGCACACAGATTTTCTGTGGGCTTACAGCTCATTATCAGTAGGGAACTTCAACCAGAGGATGTTTCTGGTTTCTGTACTGAATATTTTAGATTAACCTCCTCTTCTTTTTTTATTTTTTATTTCTCACCTTAAAATGCACATCCAGTGTTCTTACAGCTTGCTCTAACTAGAGTCTCTAACTGTAACACAACAGTAGCTTCTAGTTTGACCCTGCACTCTTTATCATAGACGTACCCATTCATTACCACAGGGTAATGGATCTAAATCACAGCCCTAGACACCCTTCCCGTTTTTCAATTGAACCTTAACCTCCCTTTCCCTGCTCCCCCCATCTCTCTTTACCTCTCTCTTTCCATTCAGGCATTTATTCGCCCGTTCCGGGAGCACCACATTGATCCGACGGCTATCACACGGCATGACTTCATAGAGACTAATGGAGACAACTGCATGATCACCATCCTGCCTCTGGCCCACATGGCCTATAAATTCCTCTCCTACCCACCAGGTACACACACACATCCACTCACTGTTCCAGTGTGTCGTGAGAGTGAGTCAGCGTGACAATTTTAGAGCCAATGAGTGTGACCTGAGTGCGACTCCTTGTCCTGGAGCTGCCGGTATTCATCTTAAAATACCTAAAAATTGGGAAATCGACAAACGAGAATATTGTTTGAAAAGGGTAAAACATTTTCAGTTCCATTTTTGCTCTGCATGGGTTACAGGAACAGCTCAGCCACAAAATGAAAATTGTCATCCTTTACTCATGCTCACATTATTCCAAAACTGTATGACTTTTTCTTTCCTCCTTATAACACAAGAGGGGAAATTTAGCAGAATGTCCTAGAGTGCTTAAATGTTCCATATTTTAGGATCATTTTCTTTTTCTTTATTTTTCAAAACGTTCACAAAAAGATTGTATGCAAAATCCATGTTGAGTGGTTTTGTGTAGTGATTTTATATTCCTGTGAGACAATGTTGGTTATGATGGAGGAAATGAAAATTGTCATCCTTTACTTGTGCTTATGTTATTCCAAACCTGCATGACGTTGTTTCCTCCTTATATCATGAGGAGAAATTTAGAGGAACGACTCAATTGCTTTAATTTTCCTTGAAGTAATTTAAAATTCTGTTTTGTTTATTACACAAAACTATCATATGAATTCATAAGACTTCGAATACTTCAAACACAAGTTGTGTAGACCACCTTAATGGTCCTTTTTTCCATTTTTTGGAGCGCAACAGCATCCATCCCATCCCAGTTATGGTTTCCAATCATTCTTGTTTAAAAAACATGAAAGTAAATGGTGACAGAATGTTCCAAAATGGATAAAATTCCATGAATTCAATTAAAAGGTCAATTTAATTTGATGTTTCTCATGGTAAAGGGTAAGGCTAGTATTTTACTACATGGTTAGGGCATGTCGTATTAATTTGCATATCATTTTCTCTCTCTCTCTCTCTCTCCACCTTTTGCCATTGCTCCTTTATCTCTCCATACACCTCACTATCTCTCTTTCCCAGATGCCCTTGCAGAGTCCTACCCCTGGGAATGTTTTGTTTTTGCATTGGCGGTTTTTGTAACCATGACTAATCAGATCCACAAGTGGTCCCACTCCTACTTCGGCCTGCCATGCTGGGTCACACTACTGCAGGACTGCCACCTAGTGCTGCCACGGAAACACCACCGGATCCATCATGTGTCGCCACATGAGACGTACTACTGCATCACCACAGGTACACACTTGTGCTTCACTTGATGAGGTGGAAGCCTTGTGTTAGTGTTGTCTTAGAAGCATAGTTCACCCAAAAATATGAAAATTCTGTAATGATTTACTCACCCTCATGTAGTCAAAACATAAAAAGAGATATTTGAAAATGTTGTATAAAACAACAATAGATGTCATTGACTCTTATTGACGAAAACGGTGGAAGTATTCTTCAAAGTCACAGAGGTTTGGAACAACACTAGGGTGAGTAAATTATGTTTTTGGGTGAACTATACCTTTAAATATACCCAGAGTCCCGTAGGCATCTTTACAACAATAATACTACTGGATCGGATTCAGATGAGGTAGGTGAACTTCCTCAGAGTCTTTTATGTAGTTGATCATGGTAACCTACAGTATCTGGCAAGGATTCTTCCACGGAGCGTGGCCTGCATCGCCAATAGCTGTGAAGAGTGGGTTAAAATAACTTTTTTAAAGTCAGCTGTGTGTGTGAAGGCATTAAACTCCCATGATAGCTCGAGCACTCAGTATGCGACATGCGTCTCTGGGAGAGAGGGGAGCGAGGATGCTTGTGCGTCACCCTGCTCCCCAGCGTACGACAGATGTGTGTGTGCATGCATGCTCCAGAGCACAGACCGGTCCTTTTGACCCTCCCTCTTTCCTTTCCACTGCTGCTCCCTGATCCCACTGGGAGACACTGATGAAGGGAGAGGAAAGGGTCTCTCTCTCTCGCACACATACACAAACGCGCATGCTTGGGAGTCTCTCTCTGCGTGAGCCCTGCTCCTCCACCCTCCCTGCCCGAGTCCCCAGGGGCCGGGGCCCGCCTTTGAGTGTGCCAGTGGCTGACAACCTCCATGTATATTTAATGCTAACCTGCTGTCAGTGCTAACAAATAGGCTTGCTCGAGGGGGGTGGGGGTGGTGTGGGTTTGATAAAGATGAAAAATCAAACAAACATGATGAGCTGTTCTGCTCTCTTCCTGCACCAAAAGGGTCACTGTTGAGAGAGGGTATAAACACACACACACACACACACACGCAGCTGACACAGACGTGACCGAGGAACTGTGTGGTGCTTATATACAGACATACAAGGTCAATGGATGACCATGTGATGTCATAATCGGGGGCGCTGAAAACAGTACTGAGGTGGTACCATGGTACTATAATGGTGTCAGGTGGAAATACCATTGGTACTGAATGATTAGCATGTTCTTATACAATTACCAAGGAATTTACGTGGTACTTCAAAGAATACCATTGTACTTGCACATAGGGGTGGGCAATATATCAAAGTTTTTGTGAATATCAGGATCATTTTAATGTGTTTTTGTTATTTGGCTGTTAAAGGGATAGTTTGCCTGAAAATAAAAAACCATCATCAATTACTCACCCTCATGTTGTTCCAAACCCATAAGATTTTCTTCATCTTCAAAACAGGAATGAAGATATTTTTAATGAAATCTGTCCCTCCATTTAAAGTCCATTCCACCAAAACTTTGACGCTTCGGAAGAAGATTATAAATGAAATCTGTCTTCTTCTGAAGAGACATTGCATACAGTACATAGAGTATTTGAAATATGGTAAACGGATGCTCAACTGTTATTGCTTGACCTGTGAGAACAAACCTTATTTGTGTATATGTAGATTTGTACTAAAAAATATTGATGTTTATTATCGATGTTTCTATATTGCTGTGTGAAAATGGCTTGATTTTTAACTGAATTTTTAACCATTGTATTTTGATTCTAGTTGGTCATTCCTTTGATAGGAAACAATCACCCTTTAATACTGTAGCAAAAAAAAAAAGAGATTTATATTAGAAAGTGTAATATTTGATATATCATCTAGTCTACTACTGTAGTGCATGTCCAAAGAATGTTGTACAGTCGTATCATGGTAATTTTTGAGACTTTTGTTTTCATGTTTGAGGCACAAAGTTTGTGAGTCTTTATTGCATTAATACATTCAAATGGTTTCCATCTTTATGATCTTTTTTAGGTTTTTAGCAAATGTGTGTGAAATTTAAAATAATGGCTGACCAATATAGGTTGTTCATTGGCCAATAACAATATCTAGAGGCTAGTGGCCGATACTAATATCTGTATTACAATTCAGTGATAGCAAATGACTTATACACAACTTGTTGAAATGAGAAGAAAACATTCTCATGATTACATTTTCACATTTAAATAATAAATGCATTTATATCCATTGAAGAAAACTGTAAATAGAATTTGGAACTTCTGTTAATTCCTCAAGTGTACATGATTTTCAACCGATAATCTCAAAATGGCCAGATGCCTCATTATTCGGCCTGGACGATATATCGTGCGTCACAGCTTTGAACTTTGTCCTGCACGTTTTTGTGTGTTAAACGTCTAAACGTGTATGGTTGAAATGGTTTTCTTGTCAAAACCCAATGGAATGCATGTCTGTGAGCACAACAGAAGTGTGTGTGTGTGTGTGTGTGTGTACTAGTAGAGTTGAGGCGGGCTGGGGGTGGGGTGCTGCTACATATTTATAGCAGTAAGTGTGTACATTACTCTACTGCTAGCGCCTGATCTTCTGTCCATCCCCTGGGAGTCACCATCCAGGAGCTTCTGTGTCTCACCGCTTCTTGATGTTGTTCTCTGTGCCTTCCCCTCTTTCTTCCTGTCTTGCTCTTTTGTCCTTGCTCTCTCCTTTTTTGCTTGCCTTGCCCTCTCACTGTTCTGCTGCATTTCTCTTTTCTCTCGCTGGTGAGTTTTCAGAAAAGTGTGTAATTCTGCGAGAGGAATGAATTTGTATGGTTGGTTTTACACATCAAGCCTGTGTGCTTCACCTTTTCTTTGTTCCTTTTTCAGTGTTACTCCTGTTTCAAAGTACTCTGGCATGATTGTTTTATGACTGTTTTACATACAAAATTAATGAAACATCAACAGGAAAAAAAATACTGTTTTACATGTATTACAATTTATTGATAATACATTAATTAAAATGTGATGATGTGAAGTTTATCCCTGTTTAATCTTGAAATTTAATTTGTGTTGTAATGTTTTCTAATTATATACACTACTATTTAGAAGTTTAGGTTTGGGTTATTTTATTTCCTCTGACGGTAAAACAGAATTTATTTCGGTCTTCAGTGTCACATGATCATTGCAAAATCATTCTGATATGCTGATTTGTTGCTCAAGAAACATTTTTCATCATAATCACAGCTGAAAACAATAGTGCTGCTTAATTTTGTGGAAACCATGATGCATTTTTTTCAGGATTTGATGAATAGAAAGTTTAAAAAACAATTTATTTGAAATAGAAATCTTAACTGTTGCTTTTGATCAATTGAATACATTCTTGCTGAATAATATTATTTTTTATATTTTTATTATTTCAATAAAATTAGTACACACACATGTATGTCCAATTTTAAATCCTGTCTTTGCTGCTAATCTGTACCACTCGATTATCTAGTCTTGCACTCATATTAATAACTACTTAGAAGTCAAAAAGTGTTTTTTTTTCTCTCTTTTGGTCGTGTCTTATCTCGCCTACGGCACTAAGTGAGCCGCTGTCATTGATGTCCCTTCATAAACATTGGTGCCTGACACCCTGCTTCACTTTCTCTATCATTCTCTCCCTCAGGGTGGTTGAACTACCCACTGGACAGAGTGGGTTTTTGGCGGACATTGGAGTGGTTGATCGAGAGATTGACGGGTCAGAGACCACGCAGTGATGACATGGCCTGGGCCAAGAAAACTGAGTGACCAGGAAACAGGACTGAACCCCTCCCTCATCCATCTTTCCCCCTGTTAAGGGGGAACAGAAACCGAATATGGGCCTTACCTCTGTATCCCAAAACCTCTCTCCTGTAATGTTCCTGTGTCCCTCCATCTCCCCTAAACAGTCTTCTCCACAGCACAGAACCACAGAGCACTCTTACTGCTGGGGCCTTTCCCTGTCACAGGTCTGCTACACACAAGCCATCACCTGTTCCTCCTCTGCTGGCTTCCTCCTCTGTTTTGTAGATGTCCACACGCAACGAAATAATACAAAGACAAGATCAAGTTCAAAACGGTGGTTTCAAACTGTTGAGATAATGATGAGAGACACTGTTCCTCTCACAATCATTTCCTCAATCTCCATGTGCTTTTTCGTTTCGGTGTGTAAAATGTATGTTTTCTGGAGGTTGGGCTCTCCAGAGGACCGAAACCATGTTGTGATTTTCCCAGCATGGTTGTCATAGCTGTGCATGGAATGAGAGAAGCAATTAAAAGTGGATTTGATTCCAGAAACGGCAAAAAAAAGATTTATCGCTATCTCAGACACTCTCCAGTTTCACAAAAGCATCTCGGCAGTGTTAAAACCCTCCCTTAGTTTGGACCGAAGAACGCATGGAGGATCCATTTCTCAAAACGCAGGGAAAGGGTTTTGTTGGCCAACCAGCGTGGTCCGTGATCAGTTGACCCAACTGAATGTTGTCCCTGAATGTTTCTTATTGAGCTCATGTTGGCCTTAAGTACAAACCCATTACACTTATTTCTAATCAGCTTACTGGGGCTTGATATTTGGAGTAGTATTAGCAGTCTAGCTAGTGATGTCCTCCTGCTGTATCCTGTGGTACAACGGTTTAGCAAAGGTTGTACTAGCAAAAGGTCACTTTAGAAAAAGGTCAATTTGAATCTGAGTTACCAAGCTTTAAGAGAATCATGTTTTTTTTTATTATTATTGAATGATTTTTGCCCTTTATTTGACCAATGGTATTTCTCATGCAAAACTAAAGTGAAAAACAGCCAAATACACTCCCTGTTTTCTCTCTCACGCATATTTACACATGCACACTTACGGATTTTCATCATGAGCCCTAAAAAACTATGAATTTCCTATGGGTTTTTGTCTCTCCATTTGCGCTGTACTGATAAATGGAGAGAATAAGGGTTTTATAAAGTGTTTCAGTATGGATTGTTTCACGTTCTCTTTCAACAGCTGCAGCTCCACAATTTGGGTTTCATTGTCTTGCTTTTTTTTTTTTTTTTAAATCATAGTACAATATAACTTTCAGCCTTGTATTTATTTGTTCTTATTTTACATCTCGCAGCTAATGCTCGCTGCTAGTCTGCCTTAAACCGACGTTTTTATTAACTGTATGATTTAATAAATATCTAATAAATAACATTTGATTATTTATTGTTTTTTTAATTTGTAACTTGAGTGATTTTTAAATGTTGCTGCTCATTACATGTAAAAGTTAGAAGCAATAATTTCGTTCTCTTTGTTAAAATGAAACTAAAACAATTACAAAGCTTTGCAAAGATAATTGCGTCGGAAATCTGCAGGGTACTTTGAGGTGATTTAACAATGCGTCACAAGCGTCTTAACGCTTTGTTCTACTCCAGTAGAAAATGTTTATGAGATATTCAGGGGGGTTCATTCAGCAAAGCACGAAACTGCCACCTTAATTTAATAATTTGTAACAAAGAATTGATTGGAATTAGCAATTTATGTAAAATGGACTATGTGAACCGTAAAGGATTAGTTAAGAGCTCCCTCTGGTGGCTGAACAATGTCCACACAGTTGAATGAATGATACAGTGTCCAGCTGACTATGGCCTAAGTAAAAGAATTATAGTACTACCATGGGTAGTAAATGAATAAGGCAGATATTCAGTACCATGATATATTACCGGAAATATGTTATCTGAAATCATCATCACTGTACCATAGTATCACCACAGTACTTTTTTATTATAGTGGGCTTTCAATTATCTGATCATTATGTTATGTATTTGTAGTCATTAAAATGTTGATATTGTGACTGCATAATTAACAAATGACAGCTTCCTGTTTCCTGCAGCAGAGGGTCTCTTGTGGGGATAGAGAGATGTTGCTCTAGATCTGCCTGAGAAAATAAAATGTTTTCTTTAATGATAAATGATGTGGATTATGTAATGCGCTGTAAAAAATATATATTCAAAGCCACACATATTGCCATTGTTATTTTACTTAGCAAATTGATGTCAAGCAGTTCAGAGACACTTTGTAATGGTGTGAAATTATTTCTTGTTTTTAATGAACAGAACCCTTGTTGTGCAGCTGGGGTAGTCTGACCTCCGTGACCTGGTGATGAGGACAGCAGTAGGATTGGGTTTTTCTACTTGGTGATAGGGCAAGGTGGCAAATGCTTCTCACATTCTTCTTTTATAATGATCTTGATATTAGTAAAAATGTAGTATCTACAGTATTTAGGACAGGGCAGAACAGATAATATTTTCTTCCCCTTCAGTCCCTGAATGTAGTAGAGGTTATGCAACCACAAAACAAACACTGATTGCAATAACATACTATCAAATTAGCCATGATTCAGCTGCAGAAATTCACTAAGCTTTGGAAATTACAGATTGCACTTTAATGCAGTACTATTCCTAGAAGTCTCATGAATTTTGGAGTCGGTTTAGTTTCATTTTCAAGTGCATATTTGCATTACCATTCAAAAGTTTGGGGTCTGTAAAATCAAATTAATACTTTCATTCATCAAGGATGCATTAAATTGAGCAAAAGTGACAGTAAATATTTGTGCATTGTTATAAAGATTTCTATTTTAAAGGGGTCATATGATGCGATTTCAATTTTTCCTTTCTCTTTGGAGTGTTACAAGCTCTTGGTGCATAAAGAAGATCTGTAAAGTTGCAAAGACTAAAGTCTCAAATCCAAAGAGATATTCTTTATAAAAGTTAAAGAGTCAGCCACACCTACCTAAAACGGCTCGTTCTAACACACCCCCACATACCTACGTCACGATCTCGGAAGATTTGCATAACGCCGCCCAAACGTTCACGCAAAGAAAGAAGGCGTAACTTATATTCTCGCTGTAGTATTGTTGTTGCCACCACCGCCATGTCGTGAAGGCGCTGTGTGTTTCGTTGTGAAAGCGAAACTACTTTGTTTGACCTTCCAAAAGAGGACGATATCTGCTTGTCATTTCTTCGATCACAAATGCAGACATGGTTTTGTTTACGTGGCGCGATGCAATGCAAAGCGTAAAAAGACAATACAAGTCATTATAATCAGCATTTATGTCCCCACTGGATGCAACAAATGCCTCGTTTGTAATGGGTTTTATTGGTTTTGTCTCATCGCGCTGGGACTCACAGTATGTGAGGGGCGTAACATTTCCGTCACACGCTTGAGGTATTCGGCCAATCACAACGCATTGGATAGCTGGCCAATCAGAGCACACCTCGTTTTTCAGACCGATGAGTTTTGTAAAAATCGACGCGTTTCAGAAAGGCGGGGCATAGAGGAGAAACAATAATGTACAGTATGTGGAAAATAACCTTAAACCGCATAAACACATTTCATTACACCAAATACACAAAATAATGTTCTTTTTAGCAACATCATATGACCCCTTTAAATAAATGCTTTTCTTTTTAACTTTCTTTTCATCAAAAAAAAAAAATCCTGAAGAAAAATTTATGGTGGTTTCTACAAAAATTATTAAGCAGTGCAACAATCAACAATAAGATTTGAGCACCAAATCAGCACATAAGTGATTTCTGAAGGAACATGTGACACTGAAGACTGGAGTAATGACTGCTACAAATTCAGCTTTGCCACCACAAGAATAAATTACATTTTAAAGTTTATTCCAATTGGACATAGTTATTTTAAATGGTAATAATATTCACATTATAAAGTTTTACTTTTTTTTTTTTTTTTTTGCCTTGGTGAGTATAATGATGGTGAGAAATTTTAAGGACCCTAAACTTATAAATGGAAGTGTATGATGGTCTTTGCAGATGTGCTGAAATTGAACATTTGACTAAATTCACTGGGATAGACTTGTTTCTCCTTTTTAAGACGATCAGTTCAAGAGTTCAATACCTGGAGCAATATCTTGCTGTGGTTAGTGGTAATCAGACAGTCATTATAAGTTTAACTTCATGCAATTTATGCTCAGGGAATGGCTCATATTCTTAATCTAAACAATGAAATATCCTTAAAAAATAAACATCACCGATATGATACTTCTTGGTATTTTTAACTTCATAAAATTATCTACGTAATCCCATACATAATATACTGAAGCCATCTGCTGTAGCTACCAGCCTACTGACGGACACATAATCAGAGCCTTTCTGCGGTTGGCTTTGTGAAATAGTTTGACAGTTTTGCTACCAATCATGTCCAGAGTGGCAGAGCCGGATCTCTGGCGCTCCATTTCAGTGGGTATGCTGACAAATGATGGACAGACCATCTGATTTGCATAACAGTCTTGATGCCATCTATTAGAGCGCTGGAGGCAAGTTCCTTCCCTCTTTTTATTTACCGAAGAGTGCACTGGAAATGATTGGGAAACTGGGAAAAGTATTGGGAAATGCTGTTGGATTTGAATTCACATCACTCTATTAGCATCACAGCTCAATATGTTGGAGCATGTGTGCTGATCACTAGGCCACAGCTCATGTTTAAGCTAAATTAAAACTAAAGACTGATGTCACAGCTCCTTCAACTTATTCTGAGGTCATCACATAATGTTAAATATAATAAGAAGACTGACCACATCTTTAAATATCACCCACATCAGGCTGTGGGTGATATTTAAAGCAGAGAATCACATCATGAATCAAGATCTACTAGTGCTGATTTGTTAAAAGCAAACTTGTCATTAGCAGTTTGATCACAAAGGAAGTGATTTCCAGTCTGTAATGTAGCTTTTCAGTAATGCTTTGGTACGTACCAAAACATTACTGAAAAGCTACGTTACATTACATTACAGTATCTTCAGCAGGTTCTGAATTCAACAGATGTTGATTGTCTCAGTGTAATCCTAATAATAGGCTAAATTATGTTAAATGGAGCTCAGTATTTTTACATATTACTGTGTTTGTCCTTTGGTATATGGTTAAGGGTGTAGGCAGAGTGACATACTGTACAGGGTGAACAGCAGTGGTACAGAGATAGAGAGAGAAATGAACTGCTGATTCAGGCCACTAGAGACCACAGTCCTGTCAACCTGTCAAATCACACACAACTGTCACTACAGCCCTGTTCACTTACTGGTATAGCTGCTGTAGTCTAAACTAAGAGTTCTAGCTGAAGTCAGCGAGCCTACTTATGCTTGTCCTTCTCCTCCAGGCCTTTAGATGGCCCCCTTGTACCTCCTCTGTGACACCTCTTCCACATGCAGGAGTGGGCATATGTGCATTGTGTTGCCTGACAGAGATGAAAGTGAAGATGTTGATTAGGTGGAAGATGTGAGTACAGTTGCAGGCTATGTGCACTTGTGTCTTTCTTGTCAGTCGCTTGTACAGAAGTGATTGTGTTTGGGTGTGGCCCAGATTTCTGGAATAGTCCTCACAGATATTGTAAAATGTCATTAAACTGACTTTAATTTCTTTCATGTAAATCAAATTATGTCTCAATTAAAGTTTTAAAATGCCATAAAGTGTTTGTAAGGATCAGTGTGTGGTAATTAGCTTAATTTAAGAACATCTGAAGTCAGTTGCTCTTAGATGTGAAGGTTTACAATGTATTTGTGTTCCCGTATAAGGACAAATCAAATATCAGTTGTATCTCCTAGACAGTAAATGGAGGCTTTAGTTTAAGTTTCCTGTTTCTCAGATATTTTTCCTGAAAAAGGCTTGAGTATGAACTCAAACTTTTCTTATCAAAGACCAAATTATTTAATACAACATTATGCTATGATATAGCTATAGCATCATGCAATCAGTCTAATTTTTCATACTACATCCCAACAAATATTTTGTTTGTTTCTGTTTATACAGTATGTATCCTATAAGGAAATTTAGGAGAAACATCTGGAACAAAGTTCTAGGACACCATTCTGGTACAGTATGTATCACCCACTCAAGTTTTTTCTCACTGTATATCCTGTTTTTCTCAGAAATACTTCAAATTATGGAAATAATCTTCAATTCACATTGGCTTCAAGTATCCTGAACTGCAAAAGCATAACCTCTGAGCAATTAAATTTCCCTTTGGGTTTGTGTGTTTGTGTGGGCATGTGCTGGAAACATATGACCTGTGAGTCAGGAGAATCAATATGGGTTTACAAGAAATATCAGTGAGTGGTAGTATACATCTCAGTAGCGTTGGAGGAAGTATAATTACACTTATAGCATCCCTGCTGTACGTTAGCCT